TAGTGCACTAGCCGAAAACTGAGCAAAGGACTGTGATGGCCCGGAAGACCCTCCTATGATTGTTGACTTGCCACCACCTGAAGAACCACCAAAGTTGCCCATAGACCGGGCCTTATTACCCTCTCGCTCCATTCTGTTCCTTAATTTCCGGGTCTCTGTGGCTTGAGCGAATGCCACCATCTTTCCATAGTTCATATCAGAATTCAAGGCAACTGTAGCAGCCTCATTAATTACCAAGGGACTAAGGCCCTGCACAAAGCGGCGCACTCTAGCCTCCATAGTGCGCAACATGTAAATAACATATTTAGACAGGTATGCGAATCTCATATAGTAATATGCGAATCTCATATAGTAATCCCACACACTCAGGCTACTTTGCCTCAAGTTCTCAAACTCAACAGCACGGGCTGCCTTAGTCTCGGCAGGCAAGAAATGATCAATGAAGGCATCGGCAAACTCACCCCACCTCGCCGAAGAGCTCCCTTCTTCACGGGACTCCTCCCATAGTTCAAACCAAGAATATGCCACCTCTTTCAGGCGGTAGAAGGCCAATTCCACTGCCTCTGTTTTAGTAGCACGCATAACTCTGAGAGTCTTATGCATCTCATCAATGAAATATTGTGGATCTTCCTCTGGGTTAGTACCCGTGAACACTGGAGGATCCAATTGGAGAAACATGTTCACCCTGGAACCAGTAGAATCCCCTGGGTCTGGGAAGCCACTATTTAATCCAACATCTGTATGGCTCCTCTAAGATCAATATCAGAAACACCAGAATCAGAAGCTGGAACTGGAGGTGGAACTGGTATATCAGTTGGAGGGACCGTTGCACCTCAATAGGTGTAGGGATAGGTACGGTCTGATCAGCTGTAGTAGAGTGAGGCAGTGTAGTAACTGGAGGAATATTCTCACTCCTCGGGTGCTCACCTGCATCATCAATTATACGATCAACTGTCACTCCTGGGGTGACATTGGCTCTTTGGCCAGTTCTTGCCTTCTTCTTAGCCGTCATGTACTGAAAATTAGAGCAACTCAGGAGTTAAAGGAGGAACAATCATACAACCAGCTTTATCGCACGATCAAGAACATGAAAGAAGGGTATTATTCCTAAATGTCAATGTAGCATCCTAATTATAGATGTGGTCGACAACACACCGATAATAAGGACTCTACTAGACATGGCTCCGAGACATCCTAGGACACTTTAAAACCTTAGGCTCTGATACCAAGTTTGTCACACCCCAAAACCGAGGAGCGCAACCGGCGCTCAACCGAGTGAACCCGACCGAGCAAGCCTGTTAGATTTTATTCTACCCAACTCATCCACGAATAGAGATAATACATATTATCATTAATTAGACGAAAATGTATTCACGTCTACAATACCAATTCATTTTCAATAGTTTCATCATTTGTAAAGTCTCAAATGGACAAGTAATACAACCACAACATAACATAGTTTGTCTTTTCCCAGCACCAATACACAACCCACACTATGTCTACGGAGCCTCTATAGATAAAGAAGAGTATAATGATAATGCCAGCAACAAGGCCCCGGCTATATCTCAAACCGAATACACAAAGTACAAAAGATACATGACCTCGGAATGAAGTGGGGCTCACCAAGTCAGCTGGGAAGAAGGTGTACTACTATCACTGATCAATATCTCCTGCTGTGGAACCACCTGCATCCATTTAAAGATGCAGCATCCCCGGCAAAAGGGACGTTAGTACCGTCGAATAACACTAGTATGTATAACTAAACAGTCTCTCAATATAATGACAAATAATACAAACAAGATTATCATAATATCAATGAAAGCCTTAATTAAAATTAAACCTCAATTTAGGATCAAGAAAGTGTTCAAATTGATTCCCATATCTCACATTGGGAGATTTTTAGTATCGATATACCATTGTCCACAATACCATTATTCACAATACCATTATTCACAAAACCAGTACCACTGTACTCTTAGCATGGAGTCCGATCACGACCCGATCAGCTAGGCCATCTCATTAGAGACATCAACCATAATTTCTCTCAATATCAATACCACCGTCTTTAACACGGAGTCCGATCACGACCCGATCGGCTAGGCTATCCATTAGGGACATCAACCACAATTATAATTTCCAGCACAATCACCACCATGTATGCGATATGGTGTCCGATCACGACCCGACCGGTTAGGCTGTCTTATTTGAGACATCAACCTTTTTATATCAATCATCGCATTTCGTATTACTTTCACATCTTTTCATTTCATTGGCACTAATGGCCATAATTATAAGATCATTCTTGGCACGTTGGCCATATTCAGTATTTCATGCTCACTTTATCAATTTCAAATATCATTGTCATCGTCAACAATAAATATAATTCAAATCAAGGTGTGTAGTACACATGTGAGAGATTTAGAGTCTAAGGCACATAGAGATATTTCACAAAATTTGGTATAATAGCCTTCATTTGAACTTGACTTAAAGTCTAAACATTATTAATGCACAGCCCATATTTTAACACATCCTCAATTGGTAACATAACATGAATAAAGCATTTGGGATGCTTGTTGAATATATATCTTTCAACCTAATCTTACTCGGAATAGCCAGTTTCATAATGAATCACTCGGGACTTACATAATTTACATTAATATCGTGGGATTCAATTCTAAGAGAAGAGTTTAGCCAACATACCTCACTTGAGCTTCCTTAAACTCTAAAACGTTCTAGAATTCTTAGCAACTTCAATCTATTGTAGAAATATAACAAATTGAATCAAAATTTGGAAGATGATCATGGTTCTAGCTCACTTGAGCATTTTATCAAACACTAGGTGTGCATAAGGTTTCAATGTCATTTTTATGAAGGATTCAATCGTCCCACAATCCAATATTTACCATTTTTAGCTCAACAATCTTCCTACACCCTTTGATAACACATGCATGTAAAATAAATAACTCTCATGCCCAAATATTATCTTGCTAGTTACCCATTTTCAGAAGATTTCGAAATTAGGGTTTAGGGTGTAGAATCTTACCTCTAGGATGAACACCTAGTGTGCTTCCCTTCTAAATCTTCCAAAACTTGAGCAAGAATTGAAGAAAAATTATTGAAGAACACCTTCTCACTCTAGGGCACTCTCTCTCACTCTAGAATATTAGATTATGTCTCAAAAATGGCCCAAAGAGTGTATTTAACGAAATAGAGTTGGGTTTTAAAAACCCAAAAATGAAGCTCCGGAACAAGGTATGCGGGTTACAAAATAGCCAAAATAACTGTCTGTGCATGCGGTCACTATGCGGTCCGCATAACTATTATGCGGACTATAATGCACCGCATAACAGTTATGCGGTCGCATGGTCGACCGCATAGTTGCTTCCAACTGACCCAATTAACTGCCTCACTCTGCGGCCATTATGCGGTCCGCAGAGTGGTTCTGCGGTCGCATAATGGACCGCAGAAATGTACTTTTCCGCCAAAAATTTTTCTTTACTTTCCGGTGCATTGTTCAACCCAATCTTTACAATCCTCAAACATGTAAGCCTAGTCCGGCACCATGAAACATTATTTTCTTTGCAAATTTTACCAGGCTTTACACTTAAGTACTTCAAAATTTTCCGTGGTGTTACACTTGTTAAGCCAAAATTAGTCCGCAACTTATTCGAAACTCACCCGAGCCTCTCGGGATCCAATCGAAACATTCACACAAGTGTAACAACATCATACAAACTCGCTTGCAAGCTCAAATTATCAAAATAATATCATTAATCAAAGATCATTCATAAACTCAAGATTTTCAAATGTTCTTAAACTCAAATTTCTAACTTTCGACTAGAAGCGCCGAAATAACCTCAGGTCACCTGAGACCCGAACCAATCTTGCGTACAAGTCCAAGATGATCATACGAAGCTAATAGAACCATCAAATTGCCAATCCAGAGTCGTTTATATAAAGGTCAACTATTGGTCAACTCCAACAACTTAAAACTTTCGAAATGAGAATTCTCCTTCCAAAACTCCCCGAACCTCCCGGAAATCAAAACCAACGATGCACGCAAGTCACAGAACATCAAATGAACCTTTTCGAATCCTCAATTCGCAGGATGGAGTGCTAGAACTCAAAACAACCTGTCGGGTCATTTGTATTGGGCTACAACTTGAAAAGGTCACAACCTTGGAGAAGAAGAGTCTCAGCCGCATATTCTTCATATTTTTATTCATTCATTTTCTAGTATTATCGCATGTAATATATCACATAGTGTGTTATAAACTCTGTGATGATCATAGAGTATTTGGATCTTTCTAGTTCGTACATTTTACATTCTTATTAGTATTAGAGGTTTGCATGCCTCAATAAGAATTATAAGGTAAGGTCTAGCTCAGTAATTGATGTCCATCTATTTTGCCGCAGGGAGATACCCCATTTGGATAAGAGATCATTCGACCTCGCGAGGCCCTCATGAGATGTTGGAAGAGCTTAGGAATGATCATCTTGCCAAGGCAATAGATGACACACTATTGTTGCTTTTGCCCCCTTATACTTTTCCCTTTGTGGTTATTTTTATTAATTAATAAAATTACCTTTATTACAATATTTTTTTAGTCTTGATTATTATTTTTATGCGAATTTTATTATCTACCAGATTACTCAATCCACAGTTATAGTTAAATCTCATGATGAGAAGGGAAATTGACAATAGAGCCGGAAATATTCACAATTTTTACTGTCCTAACCTTCCGTATTTCTTTCTTTTATTCCTTTTTTCCCTTTTCCTTTTATGCTTTTCATATTTCTAATTTATCAAAGTGGATAAGAATTCATGCAATTAAAGTAAAAAAGCTTTATAATTACACCTCACATGGAGTAATAAATTTTAATAAGAAAAGAATCGAATTCATATGTATTACGTGTGACAAAAAAGTTTTCAAATTAGAAAATCTCCCCCTCCCCCGAAAAACAACTCACCCCCTCTCCTGCCCCAACGGCTCTGAAACAAAGTCTAACAGTTAAACTGCTTCTAATTCTGCTTTGAACGACTTTGTCATTCTCTCTCTAACGGTACAAATAATCCACCCACATTCCTAGCCGTTGGAGCCACCTTCATTCTGATTTATTTCGAAGTCTCGGTTCAACTTTATTCACAGAGTTTCACAATCAAAATGCAGAAACGCATTTCAACATCCACAGTAATGAATGACAAAGCCACTACTGATGAGAATCAAAACATGAATGCTGATTCTTTCTGTTCTTTGAAACGGAAAAGACCCCCCAAGATTGAGATCCCCAGTTTGTTGTGTGAGATTCGAGTGAATTCAGAGCCGTGTTTCAAGAATGATTGCTTCAGTGGTCATGGGGTCGGCCTTTTCTGCCGCAAAGGCAAGAAAACCATCATGGAGGATACCTACAAAATAATTTCTACTTCAAATGGCAAAAGGGTAACTAAAAAATGCTTCACTTATTAATTTGATGATTAATTATGAAATGGTTTCAAGTTTCTTTTTTTCGTGGTTCTTGAAAGACTTGGAATTTTCTAAATAGAGCGACTTGGACCATGGGAATTCATATAGCCGATCCCAATTTGATTGGGATTGAGGCATTGTCATTGTTGTTGTTGCGAGAATTGAATTTTTGTAGTTCTTGAATTGCTCTTGAAAATGTAGGGGTTTTTTGGGGTATATGATGGACACGGAGGGCGAAAAGCTGCAGAATTTGTGGCAGAAAATTTACACTCGTATGTATTTGAAATGCTTGACAATGGTTCCAGCGCGACGAGAGAAAAAGCTATTGAGGCTGCTTATTTGAAAACTGATCAGCGGTTTTTGAAACAGGTAACGAGAAATTTTGATTACCCTCTTGTTTCTTGCTTTTTTCATTGGCTTTTAAACATACATTTCTCGCTCCTTTTAGTGAACAAAATAAGAACAACTTTCCGGAATTTCTATATTGGAATTGTTGCAAATTTGGATCTTTGTTTTTTTTTACTTTTCTTAGCTGGGTAGATGTAGTACCAATATCAGAGATCCATAACAGTTGATTAAGAGAAATTAGGATTTTAAAAGTTTGAGTAATCAGAAACAGGCTAGCCGAGCGTCTATCGGAAATAACTTTTGTGCCTTTCGAGGGCTAGGGGTAAGGCTGCGTACATTTTAGCCTCCCAGACCCCACTTGTGGGAAATTACTGGGTTTGTTGTTGTTGTTGTTGAGCAATCAGAATAAGAATACAACAACAACAACCACAACGACCTAGTAAAATCCCATTAGTGGGGTTTAGGGAAGATAGTGTGTATGCAGACCTTTCCCCTACCCTGAGGGAATAGAGAGCTTATTTCCGATAGACCCTCGGCTCAAGAGGACGAAAAGAGACAATATATCAGTACCATCAACAAAAACCAAAGGAATAATAACAGCATCATAAAAGCCAGAAAATAGATGAAAACAATAGCAATAACAGTAAATAGACCTGGCACTATAAAACGAAAGAGTAGTGACAACACAACATTAAGCGCTAGCAGTCTAAGACAAAAATCCTATCAGACTAGCAATCAGAATAAGAACGTGGAACCATAATCAGCTCAGATTCTATCAGCCATCTCTTATCTCATTGCAAAGGCAATTGCTTCTCTTGGAGTCAAGATTGCAGATATTCTTGTTATTTGGAGTCTGTTATACTCCTTCCGTTTCAATTTATGTGAACCTATTTTCTTTTTTGTCCGTGCCAAAGAGAATGACCACTTTCCATATTGGGAAAACAATTTCCCTTTATGCAATGATTTATAGCCAAACAAAATAAATGTGTCTCGTCTTACACCACAAGTTCAAAAGTTTTTTCTCTTTTCTTAAAATCCGTGCCCAGTCAAATGGGTTCACATAAATTGAAACGAAGGGAGTATGTTAAGAGTAAAGAGTAAATATATATGTCTTTGTATTAAATTTAGACATTTTTTGTCTATGAGGAGAAGTTTTGTACTGTGTCCTGTTCGTTTAACAATTCTTTACTCACTGAGAATATAACAGGGTTTGGGCAGTGGTGTTTGCTGTGTCACGGCGTTAATTGAAGGAAAGGAGATTATAATTTCAAATTTGGGAGACTGTAGAGCAGTTCTATGTGGCAGTGGAGTTGCTGAAGCCCTCACAAGAGACCATAGAGCTGAGAGGGAGGATGAGCGGAAGAGAATAGAGGATATGGTACATCATATTAGCCTCAGGCTACTTGAAATTAAAGACTATGATATAACATGATATGACGAATTCAATTAAATGCATATAAGAAACCTAAGAGTCTAAACCGGTCAATTTCCACATATAAGGTTGTGTGCACACTCGTCACCTCGCGTACACGTCTTCCACGTGATTTAAATAGTGAGATATGTTGTTGATTATAATTGCTCATTCAGAACTTTTTTGATGTAGGGAGGATATGTTGAACTTCACAGAGGAGGTTGGAGAGTACATGGTGTTCTCTCTGTCTCTAGAAGCATTGGAGATGCTCATTTGAAGGATTGGGTACCAGCTGAACCTGACACCAAAACACTCATTTTGGCACCAGATATGGAATACCTTGTTTTAGCTTCTGATGGTCTTTGGGATGAGGTTAGAAGAGAAAGCATGTATATATTCTGATTGATGAGGAAGCTTTTGCACGAACAATGCGCAGTACTGATTTCTGCTTGAGTTTAAAGCACTTCTAGCAATACATTATCATTCATCTGAGGGCATATAATACAATATATCAGATTTCCGGAGTACTTTTTTATGTGACAATTTTATTAATGTGGGGATTTACCAATCTTTGTCATTAGACAATTTGATTACTATGATTTTTGGGTATCCATTAGTAATCTTGTGGTTCTTAGTAAGATTTTTAGCTGAATTATCTTGAATTCATTTGGTTATGTTGTTGTTTAGGTGGGCAATCAGGAGGCTGTGGATATCATAATGCAGTATTGTCCAAGGGAAAAGAGTATGCAACTTCCAGTGTCCACTTTAAATGAAAAGGGAAAGGAATTTTATTGTTTAAGTAAAAGTCCTTCAAAGTTAGGACGAGTTCCCATAATCAAGTCCAACAGAAGGAAAAGTCATTCTCCGTGCTGTAAGAAAACTGTCAACAGCTGGATGGCAAGTGAAGATGAATTTGGCAATGAAAATGAAAGTCCTCCGAAAAAGGCAAGGCGAGTTTCAACAATGAACCAAACAAAGATGAAGATGAAAATTCATTCTCCAAATCAAGAAAACAGTGGTTTGAACAAGAACCAACCATCCAATGCGCTTGTGGCTGCATGCAGAGAACTTGTAAACCTAGCTGTGTCAAGGGGTAGTTCGGATGACATCACTGTAATGATAATCGATCTGAGTCATTTCAAATGCTAGTCGGTCATCCTTAGGAAGTTTCAGTTGCATACCTCAGAGATTAGCCCTGACAGATTCCTATTGAGTAGGATCCACTGTAATGAAAACAGATGATTCTTTAATTCTTTGAACAATCATGTATGACATAACAAAAACAATATGATTTGTCTAGGATTTGGAGTTACTGCAGTGCTGCAGAGTCTCTGATAATTAAAGCTGAATTAAAGAACGGTTTACAAAAATATACAGGCTTTCCACGACTAGCGATACAAGTTCACAACCATGATTTTGAAGAGAATTTAGCTATTCGAATGCTAGATTTTGGCACAAAGAAGAGTTTGTTCATGGGCAAGTTGTGATTATGAAATTGCGGAATAATATGGGTTGTGTTCTGTTTTGACTGCTTCATATTAGAAGTTCCACTCATACTTCACTTGACATGCCTTCCTTCCAAACCAGAGAGTTAAAACCCAAAAAAGTAGCTCAACCTGCACCTAATTGTCCTGGTGAAGGCATTTCTGTCAAATAGTACTTATGAAACTGCCTTCCTCAGTCCCATGAGTTCGTCTAGAAAATTTTAATATAAAAGAGCTATGAGACAGTAGGTGAAAGAGCTCTTAAATTCAATGGTCAATTCTGGAACAAGCTAAATGTTATGAGACAGTAGGTTAAAGAAAGAGCTTTTACACTATGACCACAAGTAGTTTGGAATGGGTTCTTGAATCTGGCCATTTCATGTCCAAATGTCAATTAAGTGAAAGATTGCAAATAAGAAGTTGCATTTATATTAATATTATAGAAAAGCGCACATCTTGGTGAAATTATTTTAGGTCATACATTGACATAGATAGTTCAAATATAGAAGCTAATGCCAATTTGAAAAGATTGGATCATAGTACCTTGCTTCTTTGTTGACTGATAAGAGAAGATCTCCCCGTATAGACATCAACATAACGATTGAATTTGAAGACAGTTCGTTTCCTAAGCTAAACAATAGTTTCCTTTAACTGAAGGATGAAGTACTTAATACTTTAATCCTTTACTGAAACTAATGAATATGTGCTGCTGTTATAAAAAATAAAGAAAACGTGGTCTATTGTATAAGGTACGCAACAAACTAGATCATCTTATCTTCAACCAAGCTTCATTCCTGCCATTGGCTTGAGAATCTGACTTGTAATACTTCGCTTCTCCTTTACTGACCTTCATTATAATTGAGAGATAAATCAGGCACATGTGCCTTCACTTGTTCAGTGGACGTGTTATGTTTTTAGCTGGAAAAAAGATCATGTTGGACAATATTAAGGTGGGGAAAAAATTACACGCACCTCATTTTTGCACCAAAATAAAAGAAAATGAGTGCAATACACGTCTACATATTAGTAGTATCCTTTTTTTAACTTGATCATGATTAAGTGACAAGCATTCTTACTTTAATTTGTGATTTTTGTGGTCAAATTGATTGGTTTCCACGAATGAACAATTGAGCATAATGGATAGTATTTGGTGCATGTACACTATTGTGACGAACCAAAATCCCAACCTGTCGTGATGGCGCCTAACACACTTCTGTGATTCAAAATCTTAGTTGCTCATGACTTGTACTACAGTCTTTGGAAATAGTTGTATTAAATTTCAGAGTTCTTATTTCAATATTTATTCAATGATTTTGGCTTAGTCTGTGTTACTTATTGGTTGGCTTACCTAGCATGTTGGGTTAGGTGCCATCATGACTTGATGGGATTTTGAGTCGTGACAATTATAAGCGCTGAAATAGCCTAGGGTCACCCGGGACCCAAACCAAATATATGTATATGTCACGACCCCAATTTTCCTCCGTAGGATGTCGTGACGGCACCTAGTCTCTAAGACTAAGTAAGCCTAACAAGTATACGGAATAACTGAAATATTAAGCTAAAACTCAATTCATCAACAACTGTAATAAATAAAATCTGCAACTCAGAGTTTAAACAACTCCCAGATTCGGTAGATATAAGTCACAAGCTCTAAAAAGAAATACTAAATATCTCTATACATCAGAGTCTAATGAGGATAAGGAAATAACATAATAAAGATAGAGGGGGTGCGGACGCTAGCAGATATACCTTGAAGTCTCCACGTACGGACTAGCTCACTAATACCTGGTCTGGTAGGAAGTACCTCGATCTACATAAAAGATGTGCATAAGCGTAGTATGAGTACACCACAACGATACCCAGTAAGTGCCAAGCCTAACCTCGGTAGAGTAGTGACGAGGTCAGGTCAGGGCCCTACTAGAATAATAAGAAAACGAGGCGGAGGATATAATGATATATTGAAATGACACAGAAGTATAACAATAGAAATTCATAGAAGGTAACAACACGAAATCAAAGAAGACAATTATAACACGTAAGGAAGCAAGAATCTTACAAGTTAAGGAACAACAACAACAACAACAATACAGCAAAAAGAGGAAAACAACAAGGGCACTCCCAAGGTACCGCCTTGTAGTCCCAAAAGTAAATATCTCACAACGGCACGGCAGAAACCTCGTGCTACAATAACAACCCGCACGGCAGAAACCTCGTGCCACAATAACAATTCGCATGGCAGAAACCCCGTGCTACAATAACAATCCGCACGGCAGAAACCTCGTGCTACAATAACAATTCGCACGGCAGAAACCTCGTGCCACAATAACAATCTGTACGGCATAAACCTCGTGCCATAATAACTATCCACACGAAAGAAACCTCGTGCCACAATAACAATCCGCACGGCAGAAACCTCGTTCCACGACAAAACAGACATCTCAACAATAATCACGAAAACCAACACATAACAAATGAAACAATGATATTACAAGCAAAGAATCCTACAGTTAAAGAATGAATACGGAATCAAGGAAGCAGGTAATTCAACTAAGCATGTTGTACAAATTACAAATAAAAGATAAGACACGTAGACATGTGAAATTAGGCTAAATATGATGGCTATGCATGCTAGAGTAACTCAATTAAGGAAATAAAATGAAACTACTTAGCAAAAACCGGATTTTTTTNGCTCGAATCTAGCCAAAATAATTTCATACTATAAATATAACAATAGGAAACTAATTTAAATAATAAAATTACGACTTTAGCAAAGAATTGAAAGATCGCTCCAAAAAGTCGACCCGGGCCCACATCTCGGAACCCGACCAAAATTACAAAAACCAAATACCCATTCGATATCGAGTCCAACCATACAAGAATTATCCAAATCTGGCCTCACGTGGCCTTTCAAAACCCAAGAATTTGGTCTAAGAACTTTACATCTTTTTCCCCAAATGTTTCAACCCAAAACCTTAATTAGATGAAGAAATCGAAGATAGATTAGTGGGAATTAATCAAAAACAAGTCAAGAATCCTTACTCAAAATCTTGCCTCAATTCGAGCTCTCAAAGTCCCAAAGTGTAAATGATTCCAAACCCTCGATTTTCCCTATTTCTGCCCAGTCAACCGCATCTGCGACCCAAGAATCGCTTCTGCCATGCCGCACCTGTGGAGAAACCATCGCAGGCGTGGAAAGTACTTAAGTCCAGGTCTTTCGCTTTTGCGAATAAGGGCCCGCATCTGCGAGACCGCTTCTGCGGGAATGGGATCGCACTTGCGACCACTGGCGCTTCTGCGCCCCTGCCATCGCAGAAGCGAAGGCGCTTCTGCGGAATATTTCCCATTTCTGCGACCAAGAGCTCGCTTTTGTGAGCCCGCACCTGCGGCCAATCCTCCGCAGGTGCGAAAACACCAGAACAACCCAGCTTCAGCAGATTTCACAAGTCCCAATTTGTTCTGGTTTCAATCCGAATCACACCCAGGGGTCCCGGGACCCCGTCCAAATATACCAACAAGTCCTAAAATATCATACTAACTTAGTCGAGTTTTAAAATCACATCAAACAATGCTAAAAACATGAATTGCGCATTGATTCAAGCCTAATGAATTTTAGAACTTCTAACTTCTACATTCGACGCCGAAACCTATCAATCAAATCAAGTTCGATTGACCTCACATTTTGCACCCAAGTCATAATTGACATTACAGACCTGTTCCAACTTTCGAAATCAAAATCCGACCCCGATATCAAAAAGTTCACTCCCGGTCAAACTTTCCAAAAATATTCCAACTTTCGCCAATTAACGCTGAAATGACCTACGGACATCCAAATCAACATCCGGACACTCTTCTAAGAGCAAAATTACCCTACGGAGCTATTGGAACCCTCAAAACTCCATTCCGGAGTCGTCTTTACACAATTCAAACTACGGTCGACCCCTATGACTTAAACTTCCAATTTAGGGACTATGTGTCCCATTTCTCTTTGAAACCAAAACCCAAACCTCCCGGCAAGTTACGTAACCATAGTACAACACAAAGAAGGCAACAAACAGGGGGTCGGGGCTAATACACTCAAAACGACTGGCCAGGACATTATATCCTCCCCCTTTTAAAATAAACTTTCGTCCTCGAACGAGTATAGAGACATACCTGAAGTGGTAAAAAGATGAGGATAGCGGCTGCGCATATCATCCTCGGTCTCCTAAGTCGCCTCCTTGACTGAATGACCCCTCCACTGAACCTTCACTGAAGCAATGCTCTTCGACCTCAACTTTCGAACCTCCCTATCCAAAATGGCCACCGGCTCCTCAACATAAGATAGATCCTTGTCCAACTGGACTGAGCTGAAGTCTAACACATGACACGGATCACCGTGATACTTTCGGAGTATGGAAATATGGAACACTGGATGAACTGCAGAGAGACTAGGTGGTAATGCAAGTCTATAAGCCACCTCTCCAACCCTCTTAAGAATCTCAAAAGGCTTGATATACCTAGGGCTCAACTTGCCCTTCTTTCCGAACCTCATAACACCCTTCATGGGCGAAACCCGGAGCAAAACCCGCTCCCCAACCATGAATGCAATGTCGCGAGCCTTCCGGTCTGCATAACTCTTCTATCTGGATTAGGCTGTACGAAGTCGATCCTGAATCAATTTAACCTTTTCCAAAGCATCCTGAACCAAATCTGTACCCAACAGCTTAGCCTCACCCGGCTCAAACCAACCCACTGGAGACCGGCCCCGCCTTCCATATAAGGCCTCATATGGTGCCACCTGAATGCTCGACTGATAATTGTTGTTGTAGGCAAACTCCGCAAGTGGCAAGAACTGATCCCAAGAACCCCCAAAATCCATCACACACGCACGAAGCATATCCTCCAATATCTGAATAGTGCGCTCGTACTGTCCGTCCGTCTGATGGTGAAATGTTGTACTCAACTCCACTCGAGTACCCAAATCATGTTGTGCGGCTCTCCAAAAC